TTGGTACTCATTGCTGAAAAGAAATTGGGGCCGGCCACCCCACATAAGGCCGGACAGGGAGCATTACCCCAGTTCGCTTTGAACACAAATCGTCGTCTGCCTCAACTAAGAGAAAAGATGAGATTAAGGCTGGGGAGAAAAGGTGGAATCCTAAAAGGTACTTCCAGAAGAGGAATGAAGCCAGAAGAGAGGAAAAGGGGGAGAGAAAAAAGGTACCAAATACTATATTCTCGATCCACAGTCGCCTCCTAAACTTAAAATCTTCATCTACTCATTCCAATACACAGGCCTAAACTGGCCTGGAAGCAACCCATATCGGTTGGGGGACCACTGGGTCCTTGGAACCTGGCACTCTACACTTCCCTCCCACCCATCTGGTCTACAGCGACCCTGACACAACCGAGTGCACCTGGTTGATACAAAACCTATAGCCTACTGTAACTCAAACCCAACCCAGTGTGATCCTTGGGGCGATTCCTTGATTGAAGCAGGAAGTCAAAGAAAAGCTGAGGAAGGTGGGTGGGGAAGATGGGGTAGATACAGAGTGAAATGACTAGTCTTTGAGCCATGGGCAGATGTGCAGCCTGCCCTCAGTGGTGACTGCAGCCAACTTGTTATCTCGCGCCCAAGTAACGAGAAACCAGCGAAGCCCTTTCGGCGATTGTCCCTTTGCCGCCTTCCGCGTCCAGTCTCCTACAATCATTGTCCTGATCAGATACTTGATCTTACTCTTCGTGGCCTGATCAGATGTAGATTGATGCTAAAAAAGCAGGTTGTTTCGGTCCATCCAAATGACCCACAGAAGGACGGATCGAATTGCTTGTGCCTCTTCCCACAGCTTTGAACCAGAAGGAAGGAATAACTCCAAACAGAGCCCAAGCCTCGTCCCAAGCCAGTGCGGTTCCGACGAAGGTCTTCCAATGCAGCTCCCACCATTGCCATATTCGTTTTGAAGCCGGACAGTCCCACACCAAATGAGTGAGGGTCTCCTCTGCTCGTCCCCCACATCTTCCACATTTCGTATGCAGGTCCATGCCTCTCTCAAAAAGCCAAACAGCTGATGGAAGTGCTGCATGCGAAAGGAGCCACAATAGAGAGGCAAACTTGAGAGAGGGGAGCTTCGGAAGTTGTACCCAGAGATTCTTGAGATCAGAGGCCGACGGGGGGGCAGCACTGGCAGAGAGTAGTCCTAACCGCCTGGTGGCTTCAGCCACCGAGTCAGATCGTGTATTCAGAAGAGTCCTTCCCAAGTAAGTTGTAAAGTGAAAGAAGGGGATTGGACTTCCCTCTGAATTCCTCCAGTGACCCCCCAGTGGGTCTATACGACATTGCAGGAGCGGCAAGCCATTTAATAGTAACTGATGGGTCTGCTGTCGATGCTCTGAGGCGGAGGTGTAAACTCTGACGAGTTGGAGAGGCTCATCTTGTGGAATGCACTGTTCTTGCTGGAAGGTGAGAAGGTCTGGCTGCCAATTGTGTGCTCGCCCTTCTGAGTTTGTTGCCCACTGTTGAGCCCTGTATGAGGAGTCGTCCAGCTGTTCCTCAATCCTTAACACTACCAGCTGCTCCTGAAGGTCCACCCGTCTGTACCACTGGCCGACGATCGGTGTGGATGACTTGAGCAGTTCTACCCAGGTATCTGGGATGGCTTGGATTAAAGCCTGTCTTCGGTCGGCTACAAACTGTAGTCTCCCTAGGAGTTGTTTGAGCTGCTCTGTGGTTCTCCATAACTTAGCTTCGTCGTCCCACAGATCTTCGACTGTTACGAGACCCTTCTCAACCCACTTGCGCCCGAAAAGGCCCCTTGCAGCCGTGGCCGCAAAGGGGAGACCTTCTTCGTCTGTTATATAGCAGTTATCGAATAGGGGCTGTCTAAGCACCTCCTCCCTTGTCTGAGGCTCCTTCCTTTGAAAACTGGAGAGCGCCCTCCATGCGGCCCAACAAGCTGCTAGCAGTGGCGACACTGGCCTTCTGCGGACGAAGGACTCCATCAACAAGCAAGCCCAAATATCCCGGGGTCTGGCAAGGTTGAACTCCTGCTGTGCAATGTATTCAAACACTGCTAGCGATTTGCGTTCATCTGTCTGAGTGCAGGCCCTGACGAACCATTTGAAGAGAATGGCAAGGTTCTGAGTGATGGGGTCCAAGATGCCAAGACCGCCTTGCTGCTTGTCCTGTGTGATTGTCTGCCAAGAGCATTTCGTAATGTACCCTTCGTCCTTGTCTGCACGAGGCTTCCAGATGTACCTAGCTGCGTCCCTTCTCAGCTGTGCAGCGGTTGTCTTGGAAATAAGATAAACAGCTGCCACGTACCAAAGCTGTGCGAAGACTGCTGCTGTAACCAGCATGGCTCTCCCAAAAAGGGAGAAGCCAATTGCACTGCTGCAGGTGCGAAGCTTGGCCTGAGACTTGGCTAACAATAGTGCATCCTGGGTGGGACGAGAGGCCTGGCTCAGTTGGTAAGGCATGCAAGTGGCATTCAGGAGGTCGTGGGTTCAATCCCCATTGGCCTCATGTACCTTCCTGGGCAAGCTTGGCGCCCGCCACCTGGAGATATGCTGTTGGTCCTCCTGAGTGGCATTGAGCAGAGACTGCTGATGTTCATAGGGGGAGGGGACCGGAGAGGAGGCACAGTGACTGGCCCATTGAAGCAGCTCGGTCCTGATGCTACCGGCTGACCCCTGGCCGGTATCTCCGACCTGCTGTAGCAGGTATCACACCTGCTGGTGGGTGCAGCTCCCGCATGTTCCCTCCTAGTTGGAGGCTTGAGCACGGATGTGGCTGCTACGGGTTCCCCGTAATACTATTAATCACACACACAAAAACAAGGGCCTGAAAGGCCGTCCCGTCCAGATTCGACAGGCAATTGAATTGGTTGGGCTCAAAGAATTAGCCTTCAAAAAAAAAGGAAAAAAAAAAAAGATTCGTTGTTTTTTTTTTTTCCCCAGTAGATTCATTTCTCTTTCTTGTCTTATTCTGATGCCACGCCACAGCCAGCGGGCCTCACCACGTGCACAAAAGACAGAAAATATGGTGGCGTATCTTTTGATGTTCTAGCAGAAGATTGATTTTCATTTTTCCCCATTTGGCGAGTAGTGGAGCTAGGCCTGATCTCACAGTTGTACTCTTAGGGCCTTGCTCCACTACTCACAACCTGCAGAAAAGACAAAAGATATGGCCGTGCATCTGCCCATGTTCTAGAAGAAGATTCATTCT